GTCCTATTTCCTTTAATCAAAAGACGGGGGGGAATGCCCATTTTCACCCGGGAAACTGCCATCAAACTACCAGACAGATCTGCCAAAAATTTGAACCTTTTTTGTATGACAAGGATATTATTCTCATTCCGTACATTGTGACTAAGATACACAGAATGTTGCTTAGTATTTTGTTGAAACATCTTCACGTCTGTCTTCCTCCAACCTATCTATGCTTTATCCCAACAAGGAAAAGATGATTCAGAAAAGAAGCATTGCACACATCTCAATTACTCTAACAGTAAATTGCAACCTCTAATATGTAGCCACATACATCTTCCAAATCATTATGTTTAAAGATGATTGTTGCCAATCTACTGGAAGGATGTAAATGCAGACATTTATCGACTTACTCTGATAGACAAGCATCAAGAATTGAGCTGAGCTTCCTCCCAAAGCCTGGCACCAGCTGAGCCTGTACAGTCTCTTCTAGTTGACGCCATTCCTAAATAATATGGATCAAATAATCAGTATCATGCATCAAATAAAACATTTAAACATCTTTGAGATGATATACCTTATTTGCAATAAACGAAGAGAACTTTTCATTAGCAATCTCTTCACAGCGTACAGTGGCCACCATCACCTAGATATGGGTCAAAAGGTAATATGTCAATGATAAAATTACTGAATTGTTTATTTATAACCTTACAAGTAGATGTTAAGATCACAACCTTGTGAGCAGGTAGATCAAGGTCCTTGTTCTCCTTAATGATCTTCCATATCTGTTGTGCACTAAATGAAAAGCCTGAAGCTGGAACTACAGCCCTTCTATCCCCAGCAAGCCCACCAGGGGCAATAGAATGAAAGAATCGCTTTCTTAGACCATCCACCTTTATTGAAACACAAACCAACACCAAAAACTTAGATCCCAGAATTCACTAATTGAAAGAGCTTACATCTCTCAGAAAACAAATCCAGGAGTAGACAACGGGTAAAAGAATGATCTCAGAGCAGTCAAAAATACATGCATGTTAAAACTTGAGTATCATTTTAAAGAATTCTGATATAAAGAAGAAAATAGTTTCATTGATTTCTTTCATAAGAAAGGATACATCAATATATACAGAATTAGGAATTCTATATTAGGAAGTTTACTAATTAGGGATTCCCTATAATTACGCATATAATCCTATATTTATTTACATTCTATAACACTCCCCCTCAAACTGGAGCATAGATATTAATCATACCCAACTTGTTACAAATATAATCAATCCGAACCTTATTTAAAGCCTTTATGAAAATATTTCCTAATTGTTCTCCAGTTTTCAGATATCCTGTATAGATTAAATTCTGCTGTACCTTCTCTCGAACGAAGTGACAGTCAATCTCAATATGTTTAGTTCGTTCATGAAACACCAGATTAGAAGCAATAAGAATAGCAGCTTGATTGTCACACCACAACTTCGCTGGTATTGAAACCTTAATACCAACTTCGGTCAAGAGCTGATATATCCACATTATCTCACACATACATTGTGCCATGGCTCTATATTCTAATTCTGCGCTAGATCGAGACACAACATTCTACTTCTTATTTTTCCATGGGACCAAATTTGCTGCAACAAAAACACAATAGCCAGTAGTGGATCTTCAATCAACTTAGAACCTGCCCAATCTGCATCTGAGAAGCATTCAATATGGGTATGTTCATGATTTCTGTACAGTATCTCACGTCCAGGAGCTCCCTTTAAATAACACAAGATCTGTTCTAAAGCTGCCCAATGGTGAACTGTTGGAGAAGACATGAATTGACTTACCATACTAATAGAATACGCGATATCAGGACGAGTTACTGTAAGATACTTCAATTTTCCAACCAATCTTCTATACTTTTCAGGATCTTCAAATAAATCTCTATTTTTAGTAAGTTGCAAATTGGAAAGCATTGGAGCACTGCTTGGCTTAGCTCCCAACTTTCCTGTCTCAGTTAATAAATCAAGCACATATTTTCTCTGAGACAAGAAGATGCCTTTCTTGCTTCTTATCATCTCAACTCCCAAGAAATACTTCAAAACCCATAAGTCTTTCGTGTGAAACCGGGCGTGAAGAAAGGACTTTAGAGATAAAATTCCCACAGTATCACTGCCAGTAATAACAATATCATCGACATACACAACAAGGAGAATAATGCCGGATTCAGACTGCTGGTAGAAGACTGAGTGGTCAGACTTACTCTTTTGCATTCCAAACTTTTCCATTGTTTGACTGAATTTTTCAAACCGTGCACGTGGACTCTGTTTTAAACCATATAAGGACTTTCGAAGATGACACACTTTCCCATACTTTCGAAGCTGACATACTTTCCCATACTCCCCCTGAGCAACAAACCCAGGTGGTTGCTCCATATAAACTTCCTCCTGAAGGTCACCATGCAAGAAAGCATTTTTTTATATCTACTCATGTAAAGGCCAATCATGAGTAGCTACCAAAGAAATGAACAAGTGAACTGACGTTAACTTGGCTACAAGAGAGAAAATATCAGAATAATCCACACCATAAGTCTGAGCATAGTCTTTAGCAACAAGGCGGGCTTTAAGCCTAGCCACTGATCCATCAGGATTGACTTTAACTGCAAACACCCACTTACATCCAATAGCCTTTTTTCCTGCAGGTAAATCTACTAAATCCCAAGTACCATTATTTTCCAAAGCATTCATCTCCTCGACCATAGCATCACGCCAACCAGGTTTGGATAAGACTTCATGAACAGTTTTCGGAAGAGTCACAAAGTCAAGAGAAGCAACGAAAGAACAAGAAGATGAAGACAAGCGATTACAAGAAACAAATGATGAAATAGGATAAGTGCACTTACGTTTACCTTTGCGAAGAGCGATAGGTAGATCAAGATCGCTAGAGACTGGATCCAATATCGAAGAAGATTCAGGTACAGAACATGTAGTAGGAGGGTCTCGTCGTCTGGAATATACGTGGTGAATAGGTGATGGTGGTGTGGGAGTAGTAGGTGTAGAAGTAATTCTACTTGATTGGTAAGTGACATGATAGATCAACAGATCATCAGATCATCATCCTCTCCCTTACTGAAAGGAGTATAAGAAGTGGGAAAGAAAAGAATATATTCCAGAAAAGTAACATCGGTTGACACAAGATACTTGTTAAGACTCGAACAGTAGCAACGATACCCTTTTGTAGACGAGAATAATCCAGGAAAATACATTTTAACGATTTGGGATCTAATTTAGTCACCTGAGGACGAATATCACGAGCATAACAAGTACTACCAAATATCCTAGGTTCAATATGGAACAGAGGTTTAGTAGGAAAAAGGACACTGTAAGTAGTCTCACCATGAAGAACGGAAGAGGGCATCCGATTAATCAAGAAATAAGCTGCGGAGACTGCACCAGCCCAAAATTGTCTAGGGACATACATTTGGAGCAAAAGTGCTCTAGCTGTCTCAAGAAGATGTCTATTTTTTCTTTTAGCTACACCATTCTGAGAGGAGGTGTCAACACATGAAGATTGATGAAGAATATCATTCTGAAGCATGTAAGTTTGAAAAGAATCGGAAAAATATTATGCTCAATGTATGTACAGAAACATTAAACTGTGTTTTAATTTCAGCACAAAAGGCATTAAAATGAGAAAATAGTTCAGAATGATTTTTCATTAAATAAAGCCAAGTCACGCGAGAAAAATCATAAACAAATGTAACAAAATACCAAAATCCAGTCTTGGACACGACAGGACAAGGACCCTAAACACCTTAATGAACTAACTCAAAAGGAAAACTAGCTCTTTTAACTGAGGACAGACGATGATGTTTTGCAAACTAACACGACTCACAATTTAAAGACGATATATTTTGAAACTAAGGACATAATTTCTTCAACAAAGATAAAGATGGATGTTCAAATCGACAGTGTGCCTCAAATGGAGTTAAGACACCCGAATAGGCAATTGACTTTGGCACCTGGGTATCCAGAATGTAGAGACCGCCTGATTCATATCCTTTACCAATAACCTTCTTCATCATAAGATCGTGAAAAAGATAGTGATCAAGAAAAAATAAGACACAGCACTTAACGTTCGAGTAAGTTTGCTAACAGACATTAAATTGAAAGAAAACCGTGGTAGATTTAAGACAGAGGATAAAGAAATTAATGGAGTTGGATTAATAGTGTCAGAACCAAGAATAGAAGAAATAGAACCATAAGCTAAGGTAACAATGGAAGGGGATGTATATGACTGAAAAGTGGAGAAAAGGCTAGGATTACCTGTCATATGATCCATTGCACCAGAATCAATGACCCATTTTGACGAAGAGGAGAGAAAACATGTATTAAGTTTACCTGTCTCGACAATGGCAGAGATAGAGTGAGATGAATTCTTCAATGCTTCTTGGTACTGAGTGAATTTAGCAAATTCATCTGTAGAAACGGTAATGGTTTACTCAGATGATGAGATGGGTGTAACAGTGGTAGCTACAACATGGGCTGAGTGAGACTTCTGAGATTTATTGTGCAATTTTCGACACGAGTATTTGGTATATCCAGGCTCATGACAGTAGTAGACGATTGAACAGATGAAGTAACTAAAGCGCTAGTATCTGTGCGAAGTACTCTAGTAAATGCCTCTTGCAGATATGAAATCTCAGCACTGGATTGGATCTGGGATTTAGCAGTCTCAAACTGAGAATTAAGGCCATCTAGAAAACTCATCACGGCCATTTGCTCCCGCTGAGTTTATTGAACTTTCACATCAGAACTAAAAGGTAGCAAGACATTCAGCTCTTCGTGGATCTTTTTGAAATTCATAAAATAAGATTGAAGAGGCTGATCATGTTGTTCAGCACGATAAAAACCCTTATAGACTTCATAAATACGTGACACATTCCCTTTCTCTGAGTACATAAATTCTAAATATTCCATCAATTCTTTAACATACTCACAGTGATTAATAAGACTGACTATCTCAGTATCAATGGAATTTCGAATTTGCAAGAATAATCTAGCATCATCTCTTAGACATGTCTGGCTAGTATTATTCGTTGGTGAATATTCAGTAAGATGATTGTCCATAAAAATACTTCGCAAGTAAATTCGATCTGTTTTACACCAATCTAAATAATTTGAACCAACCAATTTATGCTCCGTGATTTTGGACATTACTAGAATCACATCAGTCACTACTGAATTTTTTTGTTTATCAGCCATGGAAGCAAGACATAAAATCCAAATAATAAGCCAAAGATGCAACAAAAGAGAATCACAAATAATTGTAGCCCAAAGTTAAAGTAAACTAGCCCACTAGATAAAGCCCAACCACAAATATTTCTGAAACCAATATATTTAACACGCCCAATAAAGCCCAATTCCAATCAAGCAAACGGGCTAAAAGTACCTTAAGCTTGAAGGATGAATCATGATCGTCACTGACCAAAACAGTCAAACCTAAATCAACCGCAATTGTTGCAGAGATTACCGATCGACGATAGCCACTACAAGGAGAAGTCTGACTTTGCCGAGAATCGGAAGTAACAGAGGTCGACGGAGAATCCAAGACCAGGTAGCCAAGGTCTACGGACGAAGAGACCCACAGTCCCAAGGACAAGGCCGACCGTCACCGGAAGAGGTAAATACTATACCCAAACGGAAACTCCCAAAATCGAGACCACCAAAATGAAAAAACGGGTTTCCTAAACCCCAAGATAAATCCTAAAAGAACGAAACTTAATTTATATTATTGGCTCTGATACCATTATATAAAGAAGAAAATAGTTTCGTTGATTTCTTTCATAAGAAAGGATACATCAATATGTGCAGAATTTGGAATTCTATATTAGGAAGTTTACTAATTTGGGATTCCCTATAATTACACATATAATCCTATATTTATTTACATTCTATAACAAATTCAAACAGAACCAGAACCTGTTCTTTAAATTGTTCTTCCTTCTCTTCAAAACTGGAAAGAGCCACAACTTCAACCTGCCATTCACTCATTTAAGGGGATGTTATGTGACATCAAGGTAAGTACATGATATAGTTATTCAAACAGTCTGCAACTTACATTAAAAAATTCACTTAACAGAGTTTCTTTGTGAGCTTGAGGCTTGGGAACGCCATCCCATATCTTCAGAAAAGGGTAGAGGAATAGTGATTGTCCAAAGATTAGTAATCAAAACGCATTAAGATACAATAATAATTCACCATATGCCATACCCTCTGAATGTCTTCCCTTAGAACAGGTTCCAGATTTTCCAAAGGCGTCTATATGAAAAAAATGATATCACAGATCAAAGGACCATTCCATAGGACCAAATTAAGTTTTTAAACCACATTCATCATTTAAAAAGTTGAAGAGGGTACCCTTGTTTTATCACGAATGACAAACATCAAAGTCGTTTTACGTGGACTAAATAATCTCATCATAACCTGTCAATCATAAATATAAATCAGTAAGGCATCTTGTGTTTCGAATTATTGTCTGCATAGAGCAGGTGCACGAGTTACCTGGAATACAGTTTTTAAGAGTGGCTTATTTGCAGCCTGCTCACGACCAATGTCATGACACCACCTGAATTGGGTTGGTTTTATTAAAATAAACTATATAACAACCCAAAAAACTTCATTATATTGTCATAGATATAAACATAATTTTTGAACCAACACAACAATCTTACATATTTATCAACACTATATCAGAAACAGCAAGGCTAAAAAGAGAACTCTGCTTTTCAAATGCAGTGTCATCCTGTAATAGAGCAAAAACATCATAATAGAAGAGAAAGGTCAACTAACTCCAAATTTGTGCGTTTCTTAATGTTTTGGAAATAAAATTTAAAAAGATATCAAAAAAGGAAAGATAACTTAAGAGCTAATAAGCTGCCCTAGCATGTACGCAGTAAATATGAACTCCTAGATACTACTGGAACGTAACAGAACTTCCATTTGATCCAACAATCATAATGTCACAGTATTTCATACTATAATAATGGTTATACGAGGCTAAATATTTGTTGATCCATATCATTTAATATGTTTCGTAAAATATACCGTCTGCCTCTCGGGGGATCTATTTAACCAGAAAAATGACTTAGCTGACAAAATGTGATGGACTGAAAGATTTTGATTGATCAATAGTTAACTTACATGGCCTCAAGGAGAGTAAAGATACATGTTCAGGAACCATTTAATTATTTGGTACACAAGCTACGAGCAGATTGTATGCAGGCTAAGTGATATAATGACATGTAATTGCAAAAGAATATAAAATAATGATCGAGAATCCACAACTCATCATGAAAATATGAAGTTTTAAAGCGCAGGTGCTTCATCGGTACCTCTCCTCGTTCTCTTCCATCAGTGCCCTCTAAATCCATCACAAGAGTGCAAGGTTCAATTCCAACACACCGTGCCATCCAAATACCTTTTGTAGTTTGAGACCTGAGGAAATTTGTGTTAGTTGGCTTCAATTCAATAACAAGCAAAAAATAAGAAATATCAGTGTTTAACAAGTACGTGCCTCCCCTTAAAAGCATCCATCTCCTTGAAATTAGTATTAAACAGGTGATTTAACAATGTACTCTTCCCTGTCAAAATCATAGAAGAAACATAAAAGCGGGCATAGACAAAGACATGATTAGCACAACATTGACAAGTTAAGGAACATGAATCTTTGGATTGCTAAGATATGAAAATTAAATACCCCAAAGAAGTGGATATTAGAAGAAAAAGGTCTGAAGTAAATGGTTTTAAGTTTTAAAATATATGTTAATCGAGCCTCACAAAGTCCAGTAAATGCCAAATGGATGAAACAGCAAAAGAGTATCTTTACAGCTCAAAATTCATACCACTGCTTTGAGGGCCCATGATGGAGACAACGGCATAAGAAAGTCCACACTCAGCAAGTTTAACTTCCTTCGAGAAACTATCCATTCCATCAACATTGAAATTACCATCTCCATCTATTAGGTGAGTTGAGCAACATCCATCGCTTTTATCTGAATGGAAAAAACAGAAATTGAATTAACAGTACCATAAGCAGAGCTTGGATTGAACTATTAATTTCAGAAACAAACCGTGTGCAAAAGTATAACACAAACACTCATGGTTAATTGGATACTATACATCGTTGAGCATTAAAAGCCAATACATAACCCCATCAATAAATAGATAAACAACAACAACAACAACAACAACAACAACAACAACAACAACAATAATAATAATAATAATATTTCCAATTATTTTCTGCTAGGATATATAAGACTGTCAAACGAGTGGAAATATTAGCAAAAACGGATTGAAAGTTTTAATGAATTTATAAGATTCAAAAGTAAAGAAATGAATTAACCTTAACTGAATCTAGTAATGACAAAAGATCAGTCGAGCCAAATGCTTATCCTGTCCACGTTCACTCGATCAATTCAAAATTCTTTCTTTTGTAAGTAATTCAAGAATAATTTAAAAGATCCTTAGCAACCATGCATAAACTCCAAGCCGGTTAAACGGTGTGCAATATTCATCAATAAACTAGTACTTAGCTATCAAATCAATATCAATTCAATCGTAACTAATCACCCTGCCAACAAACCAGTAAACACAATTTTAATACGAAATTAACCCGAAATCTAACAATGCAACGAGCGGAAACCACGAAATTTTTACCTTTATTTAAACGAGAAACCAATAACTGAAAAGCAGTTTCAGCACAAAACATGAAACGTACGCATGTAGAATAATAAAAAAAATAAATTAATAACGTTATCGAAATGTAATAATTTCAATCCCGGGGTAATGATTGGCAGAAAATAAAATACCGATCATTAAACTCAGTATTCACGATACACGTTAATGAATAATATTATAAATAAACATAATGCAAAACCCAAAAAACGTAGAAAATGGATCAGAAGCGAACCCATTTGCAAGATTAATCAAATGATTCGATCAATGGTTAACCGATTTGGTTAATCGAGGAGAAGAAGATCACCGTAATAAAGATCTCAGGTAGTTAGTTTCATATTTATACTCTCCGTTTGACGTCCATTTTCATAAAGCTGTACTATTCTAATTTATAGTGAAAAATTAATAAAAAGAAAATTGTCGGAAGAAAAAATACAAATATATATTTCAATCCAAAGAAATTTATCATATATTTATTTATGTAATGTGCTAAAGTGGAATTGTTACATGTTGGGGACTGAAATGAGGAATATTTGATGAAGCAATAATAAATAAAATCATAAAGTTGAATGGATTTATTTCATTTTATACGAACAAACGACACAGAGAAAGAAATTTCGTTTTTTATCGAAGTTGAACCTAAATTAATATAATTTGTTTTTTCACAATACAATATGCATAATTTGTGTGATTAACGTAGATCACATATTCTTTTGCTATATATTAGTTGAAATTTGTATTTAATACCGCAATAATCGTTTTTTCGGGCATTCCTTTTTTCCTCCCATTTTTGGAATAGGGCATGATGTCAAATGTACTCTATAAATGATATAACTCCATCGTATTATCTAGAGTCATTTTATAGCTCTTGTTAATTCCTCGGTTATGTTCTTTAGTTTCTATGTCAAAGATAAAAGAAGAACGAAATATGATTGTGATAATATAATGTAAATGGATAATCAGGAGCACTGTAGTCACTTGAAAGTGGCTGTAAACAAAGTAAGCGATAGAGTTCATAAGTTAAAACTTTTCATTTTCAAGGTGAAATAAAATGGAAAAAGTCATGAGTACATGGAATTTTTGACAAAATTTTTACCTACGCTGATGTGGTCGTAGATGATTGGATTGTTTTTTTTAATTCTTTTTCAATCTTTCAATCAATTCCTGCCATGTTGTCTATATCAAAATTGATAAGAGATTTTGATCCATAGGTCATGTGGGATTCACCATATGAGATTTTGTTCCATTTTCTTTTGTAAGAAAGATAGATGGGCTGGAATTTTGAAACTCATTAAAGAACTTGTCTATTTCTGCATATGACCCTCACTTGTAGAATTTTTTAACTCATTAAAGAGCTAGTCTATTTTTGCATGAGCTACAATAACATAAATTTAGCATTCAGAATTTTGGAATTGTCTCACAAGTATATTAAACACAAACATGTTTGTTTTTTCCTTATTTATTTCATCTGAAAATAAGGATATTTTATCCTCTATTGTATACAAATAATAAATGATGAATAGAATAGTGAACTCATAAGGAATGGTTATTTACTTATTTTACTTTAATTAAGTATTAGCTCTAATTTCAAACACGCAATTGATTATTAAAATTTGATTTTTAATTACATTTAATTATCTACTGAGATAGTCTCAAAAGGCACTACAATCCCAAATCTACAGTTGTCAACATACTTTAATATGTTTGTTCGCCCTTTCATCATTGTTAGCAAAAAGATAGCAATATAGAGCACACCAATGAACCTATTAAGATTTTAAAGTTAACAAGATTAAGGTTTCCATTCAAAATCAGCACAAAAATGCGCAGGCAGCTACAAAATTTCTGCACAAGTGCACGGTTTTGGTACTTGATTTACATACTAACGTTAGTGGAATCGGGATCTGTTAGCCAAAATTGTTGTCTCAGCCGGAACATGGTTTAAGTCTCCCATTTCTCTGCCTGCACATGATAAGTTTATAGTCTGTAAACAGTTGATGAAAATCATTATGAACTCAGTTCTGTTGTTCTGATTGTGATTTTAGTATGCAGCGGAAATAAGGATAGATTCTATCAAGACCGGATCAGTTCAGTAATAAGAACAGAACAAAAGATATTTTGAGAGAAACTTTTTTTTATATATATGACTTATTTGATTTGAGTACATGACAAACCTATTCATAGGATAGCATAAGACTACTAAGAGTCACACAATTACTAAGACTAATAATGACTAATAATGATGATGAATGCATCCATTAATAATGACTAATAATGATGGTGAATGCATCCATCTCTTCATCTTCCTATCTAACACTCTTCATATTTCATCATGTGGAGAAAATCAAAAGTCTTCAATAATCAACATTCTCCTCCTTGAAGCTTTTGGGTAAAACTCCAATCTTCAATCTTAAGTCTTCAAACCTGGATTTGGGCAATGCTTTAGTGAACATATCTGCAATTTGAGATTCACCTGGACAATATTGGAGATGAACTTCTCCTTCTTTCTCAGCTTGTCTGATAGCATGGAACTTCACTTTAATATGCTTGGTTCTTCCATGATCAACTGCATTCTTTGCAACAGCAATGGCTGATTGATTATCCACCATGATAGTTGTAGGATCATCTTGACTTTTCGGAAGATCATTAAGAATTTTCCTCAACCAAACGGTATGATTTACAGCTGATGATGCTGCAATATATTCAGCTTCTGCTGTGGATTGTGCCACTACTTCTTGCTTCTTTGAATTCCAACAGAATGCTCCCGAACCAAGTGTAAATAGATAACCACTCGTGCTCTTCATATGATCCACGGAACCTGTCCAATCACTATCTGAATATCCAATCAAATTTGAGCCAACTCCTCCAGCAAAATAGATGACATGATTTATTGTTCCTTTGATATACCTAAGGACCCTTTTGGCAACTCCAAAATGTGTTTGTGATGGCTTACTCATGAATCTAGAAAGTAAGCTTGCCGCAAACATCAAATCTGGTCTTGTTACTGTCAAGTACAGTAAACTTCCAACAAGACTCCTATATTCCTTCTCATTGATTGGCTGGTCTCCATCTTCTTTGGATAATTTTGTGTTCAACGCAACTGGTGTATCAACTGGTTTACACTGCTGCATCTTGAACCTCTTCAAGATATCACTTGCATATTTCTTTTGTGAAATGAAAATACCATTTTCTGTTTGCTCAACCTCAATGCCCAAAAAATACTTCATCTCTCCAAGATTTGTCATCTCAAATTCTTCCTTCAATTTATCAGCAAACAAATCAATTTGCTTTTTTACTGTTTCCTGTGATGAGTAAATCATCCACATACATGGATAGAATCAAGATATCAGAATTTTCATCACTCTTCACATAAAGAGTATGTTCATTTTCACTCCTCCTGAATCCTTTAGCGCATAGATAACCATCTATTTTGCTGTACCAAGCTCTTGGCGCCTGTTTCAAACCATACAAGGCCTTTTTCAGCTTGCATACATGATCAGGATAGATTCTAGACTGGAAACCTTCAGGTTGTTCAACAAAAACATCCTCCTCCAGTTCACCATTGAGAAATGCGGATTTTATATCCAACTGATGTATCTTCCACTTCTTTTGTGCTGCTAGTGCAATCAATAATCTGATGGTGTCAAACCTTGCAACCGGTGCAAAGGTCTCAAAATAATCAACACCACTTTCTTGTGCAAATCCTCTAGCAACTAACCTTGCTTGTATTTGTTCACTGTGCCATTTGGATTCATTTTTGCCTTATAAATCCACTTCACTCCAATCACTTTTCTTTCATCAGGACGAGGTACCAATTCCCAAGTCTAATTTTTATGAATCATCTCCATTTCAGTTTCCATTGCATCAACCCATTCAGAATGTTGTTGTGCCTCTTCATAACTGCTGGGTTCAACCACTGCCATATTACACCTCTGATAAATCTCATTCAAAGATCTGGTTCCTCTAGGAGCCGAACTAGATCTTGAAGATTCAGAATTTTCTGCAGTAGGTGCGATAGATTCTATCTCGGAAAACTGAACTACTAGTGTTGGAGTTGAAGTTTCCACTGGGATAGGAGGAAAAACTGCTACCTGTTGCTGTGTATTGGTTTCATTAAAATTCCACTTAGAACTTTCATCAAATTTTACATCACGGGATATCACAACTTTTCCAGTTTCTGGAAGATAGATTTCATAGCCCTTTATCTGTGAACTATAGCCAATAAAGATCCCCTTCACAGCCTTTTGCTCCAACTTGCTTCTTTTCTGATCTGGGACATGAACATAGCACAAAGACCCAAAAACTTTCAAATGCTTGGCTATAGGTTTCATTCCACACCATGCCTCAATAGGTGTCATATTTTTTACAGCTTTTGTAAACAACCTATTTTGCAAATAAACGGAAGTATAAACTGCTTCTGCCCAAAACGAATTTGGAAGTCCCTTCTCAGCTAGCATACATCTAGCCATCTCCATGACAGATCTATTTTTCCTTTCTGCCACTCCATTTTGTTGCGGAGTGTAGGGAATGGTAAGCTGCCGATGAACTCCATAATCCTCACAGAATTGATTGAAGTTAGTAGATGTATACTCCTTGCCATTATCTGATCTCAAGGTCTGAATTTTACATCCAGATTATGCCTCTACCATATTCTTAAATTTTTTGAACACATTGAACACATCTGACTTGTTTCTCATGAAGTACACCCAACACATTCTTGTAAAGTCATCAATGAATAGCACAAAATACAAATTATGACTCAAGGATGGAGTTTTCATGGGACCACAAATATCAGTATGCACAAGTTGCAATTTTCCAGATGCCCTCCATGCACCATCATTAGAAAATGACTCTCTATGCATTTTCCCCAAACTACAGCTCTTACATACTCCTCCAGATTCATGAATTTAGGCAAATCTCTCACCATGCCATGAGAATGCACATATGACAAAGACTTGTAATTATAATGACCATATCTTCTATGCCACAAATCAGATTCATCCACATCAACTCTAGACATATTTGCAAGTAAGCTATGCCATTGAATGCTAAAACTTCTATTATGCATAGGCAAACTAGCAATTTCAACATCATGAGGATCATAGATTTTGCATTTCATATCTCGAAAATGCACAGCATATTTCTTTTCAAGCATTTGACCCACACTTAGTAAATTTGAATCCAAGCCAGGCACTAAAAGTACTTCATCAATATATCTTGTACCTTTCTTTGTTTGGATAGCAATAGTACCCTTACCTTTGGCTGGTAGGACTCCTCCGCTTCCAATTTTCACCGTGGCCTTCACATTTGTGTCTAAATTGCGAAAAATTTGCTCCATATTAGTCATATGATTGGTGCAACCACTGTCTACAAACCATGTTTCCTTGCTACTCAATTCAGCTCCATGAACAACTACAAACAAATGGTTTTCACCATTCGTTTCATGTGCAAATGCTGCTTGCTGATTTTGATTTCTTTGTTGATATTGTGGCTGATTTAGATTCTGCTTTTTGGCTCTACAAAACTTTTCAATATGGCCCACTTGCTTGCAAAATTTGCATTGCTTTGTCTTCCAACACTTCTTCTCAAGATGGTTGGTTTTTCCACAATGAATACAAGGAGAAAATGAGTCTCCTTTGCATTTCTTCTTCCCTTCTTGGTGTTGTTTTCCTCCACCTTCACTTGAACTTTGCGGTTTAGACTTTGCCGCAAGAGCTCCTTCAATAGTTACCTCAGATCTTGACGTTAACCTTTGCTCATAGGCTAACAAAGCACCTGTAAGTTCAGTTAAAGAAAGACTTGACAGATCCTTTGTATGCTCTATAGCCGTGGTAACTGCATCAAACTTTTCGGGTAAGGTAATCAACATTTTTTGCACCACTCTTTTGTCTGGTACGTCCTCTCCATTCAATTTAAGCTGATCCACTACATTAGCCACTCTAGAAGAGTAGTCCTTTATGGATTCAGCATCCTTCATTCTTAGATTTTCAAACTCTCTGCTCAAAGTTTGCAATCTTACTGCTCTCACTTGCTCAGACCCTTTGTACTCTTCTTGTAATTTATCACAAGCCTCTTTTGCTGTTGTAACAGTCACAATCTTGGAAAAAATTGTCTCAGTGACAGAAGAGTGCAAGAAGGTAAGAGCCTTCATATTTTTTATTCTACGATCCTTCTCTTGCCTCATTTGATTCACAGTAGGGTCTGCATCCAACTCCTGTGGAATATAACCTTCTTCAACAATCTCCCATAGATCATGTGCCATCAAGAAAGCCCTCATTCTGACAGATCAATACTCATAGTTTTCGCCTCCAAACATCATGGGGATAGGCATTGAAGTTAGAGTAGAATTTGCCGTTTTTCCTCTTTCTCACAGGCCTTTAAGATCAGGAGTGCTCTGATACCAAATGTTGTTCTGATTGTGATTTTAGTATGCAGCGGAAATAAGGATAGATTCTATCAAGACCGGATCAGTTCAGTAATAAGAACAGAACAAAGGATATTTTGAGAGAAACTTTTTTTTATATATATGACTTATTTGATTTGAGTACATGACAAACCTATTTATAGGATAGCATAAGACTACTAAGAGTCACACAATTACTAAGACTAATAATGACTAATAATGATGATGAATGCATCCATTAATAATGACTAATAATGATGGTGAATGCATCCATCTCTTCATCTTCCTCTCTAACACTCTTCATATTTCATCATGTGGAGAAAACCAAAAGTCTTCAATAATCAACAAGTTCTAAGTGGAGAAACAACCAAAATACGTCCTCCTTTTCCTGTGCTAGCAACTCTTCAAAGGATATATCCGAGAGGTCGGCATCTGTACTCTCCACAAGCTCACCAGAGTTTGCTTTCATATCCATGCAAGCACCAAGTTCAAGCATCTTCAAAACGAGATGAAAATCTTTAATGGGACGACAATCATTCCGGAAATAGGCATGCTGATGCAGCCCAAGACGAGCTCAAATGTTATATTTTATGTTGATTAGTACTCTATTCTCCAACCATAAAAATCACCAGAGTTAAATCTGAGGTAAAAAACACTATTAATCACCCAACTTATAGAGTTGTTAGACTTTAGTCATCGACCATTTTCCGTTCCAAGTTATTCATTGAACCTTGAATTGATGGTGTGGCTTGAAAAAGTTGCATGCACGGTCTACCTAGATAGAAATGCATACCGTTGGACAAATTGTCGAAATAAACAAAAAAAGAAGGCACTACTTGTCCAACAAGATGCATTTTTGCCCAGTTAGATAATAAAAATAATGGATAAATGGATTTTTCATGCTGAAGTGCGTCAACGCAACATAAGTGAAAGTTCAATGGATATTTTGGGACCAATAAAGATGGACATAGTTATGAAACCATGATACAAGTTAGGTGAGTGACTGTCTACACCAAACTGTACTATAAATCGATCCTACCACATTAAGCTCATGTTTGTTCCCTATTTCTCGAAGCTCATTTTTTCCCAGTCCCATTTTCAACCACAGATTTCATGGAACCACAACTTATCTACTTTCAACAACATATTTCATCAACTTTTATTAAAATATACTAAAAATCCAATTTTTAGCAAAAACCAAACAAGTGCTAGGTGCAAATTCACCACTGTTGTTCCCTAATACATATACCCATATTCAATTCAATTTATTAACTGAGGGAGAAAAAGAAGAAGAAGATACCATCTTGTATGCAGGCGAGCGCTTAATCTGTTGTTGAAACCAGTTATATACAAAAGCATCCTCTTCTAGTCTTTTTTGTTCTAATTCTAGCTTGTATATCTACACGAAACAAACAGTTAAAATCATCCGAACAAGAAACAAGTTGTCAAGACAAATTAATATAACTCAAAAAACCCGTGAACCTACCTGTTGACATAGACGGTCAAATGAAGACCTATCCGCCTTGCATAATAAGGCCTTGGTTATTGTGAACTTCCTCTTGACGACCTCAGATCTGTTCATGAGTTACACAAAAAATATTTTTAGATTGGTACTCACGGCAGAAACTACTCAAAATTATTAAAACCTTGTGATTAGCTATCCATTTCTAGCTCACACTCCCAGCCGCGCTCATAAAGATTTATACTACCATAATGTAAACTCAGGTATCTGATTCAAATTTCAAATTTTATGAATGTAAAGCAAAAATTGATAACATACTTGTGCTGTAACTCGTCTTTCGCTTCAATGAGGCAAGTGACAAACTGTCCAACCTGCATTATGTGCACCAAAAAACCAAGCTTTGGACACCACTAATTGAATAATTGGCCATGATTGTGAAAATACTTTTAACCAAAATTTTACTAAGAACTCAAAACATGAATGAAATTCAATTGCAAAACTACCGGCAGAAATTTCAGCATACAGACATTTTTTCTACCAATAGACTTCAGCCTACCTAGAGTTCAACAACTGTTAGTTTTTCTTCCATGAAGTTCGGTATTTCAATGACAAAATCGAATCTAAATGTGGTCCACATATTCCAACTGCCTTTCCCACATTTTGTTCGGTTGAAAACTGCTCTATGATGGATAGAGCATATATATATTCAGATGTTTCCACCGGTTGGGTCCCTAAGCCTTTCAATCTCCTACAGTTGAAAATACGCCATCTAATTGAGGTTGAGTCAGGTTTAGAAGCACCTAAATCTGAATCCTTGAACGTGTGTGAGTAGCAATGGCTAGAGGTATGTTTTCGATTCCATTTTATTCGGCATTTGATCCTTATGCCTTTTGGATTATTGAAGCATGTTTAGATGGATTAGATATTTACTTACAATTGGTATCAGAGCCTTAAAAACCTCTGCCTTGCTTATTTTTGTCTCTGCAATTTTTCCAGAAAATTTACAGTGTTTATGTAATATTTTTCCTTACAGTTCAAATCTTTGTCTTGATGAAAAATAAGGTTAGAAATCATCAAAAAATTAGATTTCTAACATTTTTGAGATTTGAAACGTAATTTTTTAGTGTTCGGAAGGCTAAGAAACCGTTGGGTTTTATTCGGGTTGCAACAGGGTCAAAATGACCCGGCTGGAGGTAGAAGACAACCTTAAAAAATAATAATAATAAATTCAGAGACATGCAGAAACAGACTCTTGCTTTTTGTTTGTCCTTTATGGAAGAAAGCAAAGAAATCATTCTCTACAGCCATTATCTTTGACCTTTTATGGGACTAATTTCATTTTTCGTTTCCAGTTCCATAGACAGAGTTATAAAATATATTTTTATGGATTTGTTCAATGTAGTAAAATTATTCAAGTCATTCTCTGTTTCCGAGAATTGGAAATGTACAGTCTGTAAATATGTATTTTGTGGTTTTGTTCTATGTGCTAAATTATTTATTTGTTATTTGTATGTATAATTTTTATTGTTATGTTATACATGCAATATTGAGTTAAATAATCTAGTACATTAAAACCTTAATTTTTTTGCTCATACTGCTTATGATTTTGTGCAATGTATATGAGCATATTTTGTGAATTAAATTTAATGTCGTGTGATTCATATAATTTTAATTAATTGAGGAGTAGCCACATAATCTTTAATTATGCAAAATTATTTATTAATTGTATAGAATCACATATTGAATAAAGACATTAATTGTAGTTAATCATATGTGATATAATAAAATCTACCCATAGGTATTTTGTTATATTTGTATGATTAATTGGGATGAAATATCATATTATATTTCTTAATCTACCCATGGGAATTAAGAAAATGAACATAATTTGATAGTTTTATCATGAGGTTATTAGATGAATCTAATTGAGGAGGACTTTAGCCCACAGGCAAGTTTTATATCACTAGATTCATAGATAAAAACATGATTTACATTGGTAAAACATGATATTTGTTTTAGTCTTAAATTTTGAATAATGAGCATGTATGTTTGAAATGTTGCAGTTATTCAACCAATTAATTTCTCTGATATAAAATGCGATGTTCCTAAACTTAAGGGTGACAACTATAAGGTTTAGAAGGAGAGGATTCTCATTCACTTAGGGTGGATGGATATTGACTATGCTATTAGGAAAGACAAACCACCTAAAATTACTGAAACCAACATTCCAGACCAAGTGGATCTTTATGAAAAATGGGAGCGATCTAATCGCCTTTCAATCATGTTCATAAAGATCAACATATCTGCTGGGATTAGGGGTTCTATCGAGCAATACGACAATGTCCGAGAATTGCTGAAGGCAATTGATGATCAATTTGCGACTTCAGACAAGGCATTAACAAGCACCCTAATTATGCAGCTCTCATCCATGAAGCTCACCGGGATGAGAGGCGTGCGTGATCATATCATGCGCATGAGGGATATAGCGGCTCAACTAAAAGCGTTGCAAGTTGAGATGTCAGATACTTTCCTGGTTCACTTCATTCTGTGCACTCTGCCCCAGCAATATGGTCCCTTTAAGATCTCTTATAACACACATGAGGACAAATGGTCAATTAATGAAATGTTGACCATGTGTGTTCAAGAGGAGGGAAGGTTGGCAATGGAAGAGGTGAGAAGGTGAACTTGACAGTTCCTGGAAAGAAAAAGGATCAAGCCAAACAAAAGGGAAAGGGCAAGATTCCTCCCCAGTCGAACATCAAGAAGGAGTTAAGGTGCTTCTTTTGCAAAAAGAAGGGGCACATAAAGAAAAATTGCTCCAAGTTCAAGAACTGGCTTGACAAGAAAGGTACTCAACTTTCACTTATTTGTTATGAATCCAATATGATAGATGTTAATCATAACACTTGGTGGATTGACTCTGGTTCTTCAATCCATGTGACCAATTCCTTGTAGGAATTACACAACCTGCGGAAGCCAGTGGAAAGTGAGCAAAGCATCTATTCTGGAAATAAGATGCCCTCACGTGTGGAGGCTATTGGAACGTGCAAGCTAGTTTTAAGTAGTGGTTTCATTTTGTCTTTAGAAAGAACCTTTTTATGTTCCTGGTTTTTCTAGAAATTTGATTTCCGTTTCCAGACTTGTATCGGTTGGATATTCATCTAATTTTTTAGATTCTGGTTTTAGTTTATCTAACAAATCTGAAATTGTTGGTTTTGGTACTTTGTCTGATAATCTTTTTCATCTTAATTTACAAAATGATGAAAACTATGTTACTATGCACGTTCATAGAAATGTTGGTATTAAACGATGTGTTATAAATGAGGAATCCTCTATGTTGTGGCACCGAAGATTGGGACACATCTCCATTGAGAGAATTAAAAGATCGGTAAATGAAGGGCTACTTAATACTTTGGATTTTGCTGATTTTGAGCCTTATGTAGATTGCATAAAGGGTAAGCAAACTAACAAGTCTAAAAAGGGTGCAAAGAGGAGCACAAACCTATTGGAAATCATACATATAGATATTTGCTGTCCAGACATGGACACAAATGGTCCAAAATATTTCATCACCTTCATAGACGATTATTCACGATATATGTATCTCTACTTACTTCATTCCAAGGACGAAGCTTTGGATGCCTTTAAAGTTTTTAAGGCTGAAGAAGAGAATCAATGTGGAAAGCAAATTAAGATTGTGAGATCAGATAGAGGTGGAGAGTACTATGGTAGATACACAGAGAGTGGACAAGTGCCTGGTCCATTTGCAAAGTTTCTTCAAGAATGTGGGATTGTTGCCCAGTACACTATGCCTGGTTCTCCAGATCAGAATGGTGTGGCGGAAAGAAGAAATCAAACTTTAATGGACATGGTGAGAAGTATGTGGAGTAACTTGAAACTCCCTGAATCTTTGTGGACTGAAGCTCTAAAGACGACTACGTATATATTAAACCGAGCTCTGACCAAGGCTATCCAAAAGACACCTTTTGAGTTATTCAAGGGTTGGAAATCGAGTTTGAGGCATATACGTGTTTGGGGATGTCCGTTTGAGGTGAGAATTTACAACCCACAAGAGAAAAAGCTAGACCCAAGGACCATTAGGGGGTATTTTATTAGATATGCTGAAAGGTCCAAAGGGTATAGATTCTATTGTCCATCTCATAGTACTAGGATTGTGAAATCATAAAATGCAAAATTTCTTGAGAGTGACTTAATCAGTGGGAGTGGTCAGTTTCAAGACACAGTTTCTGACAAAGATTATCATGAAGCTCAACCCACTGGTTCAAGTGATAGATTGGTTGTCATTTACACCCCTCAAGTTCAAACGGGTGTTAGACGACCAGCTATTGAAGTTCCACAAACTGCTGATATCGATCCAGTAAATCAAGTTGTAAATGAGGAACAACAAGAAATTGTTGAACAACCAGTTGAACAACCGGTTGAACAATCAAGAAGATGATAATACAACGTTAAGAAGATCTATTAGAATTAGAAAATCAGCAATTCCCAGTGATTATGAAGTGTATCTGCAAGAATCGGACTACAATGTTGGAGCCGAAAATGATCCTGAAACTTTTTCACAAGCCATAAGCTGTAAAGAATCAAGTTTATGGTATGATGCTATGAAAGATGAGATAGATTCTAAGGCATCTAATGGGGTCTGGGATCTTATTGAGTTGCCTGATGGTAGCTATAGGATGACGAAGAAAAACTCATTAGGCAACATTGAAAGATATAAAGCAAGACTTGTTGCCAAAGGATTCACTCAGAGGGAAGGAATTGACTACACGGAGACATTTTCTCCTGTATCTAAGAAAGATTCTCTCCGTGTAATTATAGCATTGGTAGCCCATTTTGACTTTGAGTTACATCAAATGGATGTGAAAACGGCGTTCCTCAATGGTGATCTAGAGGAAGAGGTTTACATGAAACAACAAGAAGGATTCTCCTCTAGTGATGGTGAGCACTTGGTCTGCAAGCTTAATAAGTCCACATATGGATTGAAACAAGCCTCCCGTCAGTGGTATTTGAAGTTCCATGAAGTCGTTACTTCATTTGGTTTTGAAGAGAACGTTATGGATCATTCAATGACAAAATCGAATCTAAATGTGGTCCACATATTCCAACTGCCTTTCCCACGTTTTGTTCGGTTGAAAACTGCTCTATGATGGATAGAGGATATAAATATTCAGATATTTCCACCGGTTGGGTCCCTAAGCCTTTCAATCTCCTACAGTTGAAAATACGCCATCTAATTGAGGTTGAATCAGGTTTAAAAGCACCTAAATCTGAATCCTTGAACGTGTGTGAGTAGCAATGGCTAGAGGTATATTTTCGATTCCATTTTATTCCGCATTTGATCCATATGCCTTTCGAATTATTGAAGCATGTTTAGATGGATTAGATATTTACTTACAATCAACAACCTCACTTTGATGAGAATAAATGCATCAATGAATAATATGTACGTGTGATCTGGGGACCATAACCGTATTTATATAGCGATGTTCTTTGACTTAAATCGGTCCATCGTAGAATTAGGACTTGGGCTCGGTGTCTACACGTATGTAAACTCATACTTTAATTGGATACATTAAAACTCAAAACCGAAGCCTTATTAGATCACTTTAATTGGGCTCGACCGAATTCGATAGCCGTTAATTCAACACACAATTATTCACACATATAAACCCATCGATGGATTAAAAATCCTTACAATCTCCCACTTGGGCTATATGTGTCACCTTATAATTGTGCATTAAATATAACCTAATGAGTACTCAGAATTTTGCTATCATTATCGAATGTATCCCCAAACAATCCCTTCCATCAATCATATCAACATAGGATCAAAGCGGCTTTCGCTGCTTTCATGTAGCTAAACCCATCAATGGTCATGTATATCAATATAACCGAATGACATGGATCAAGCATGGATGTGTAGTATGAAAATTACATGTGATAAGATCTGTAACATGCCTATTTCCAATTGGTCCACCTTAATGCTTTAGTGAGATCATTTTAAACAAGTTCAGATATAATAAACCAAATAACTTTATAACTGAAAATAACTTTAACCTTAAACCGTATCCAAAATAACAGTATATGTGTCCAAAATGAAAAACAAAAATACAAACTCCCACTGAAACTAGATATCCTCAAGAGACACTATACCCATATGAGAAGTGTGCTCATGAAAGACCTTGGGTATCAATCCCTTAGTAAGCAGATCCGCAACCATGGAGTTTGTTCCAATATGCTCTATTGACACCTGTCAACTCTGAACTCTTTCTTTAACAGCCAAGAGC